AAGGCCAAAAGTGAGGCATTGTCAATGGAGACATTAGGAAGAAAAGTTGTTTAGAAAGAAGAAAAAAGATAAGATCCGAAATTTAGTCGCCTCTTACTATCATGCAATGGGGGCAGCAGGTACAATTCCTACGCCCTACATGCAGGGGTTAGAGGTGAGGGGGTACATGATGTTAGTTCCATTTAACAACAATGTCTCAGGCTAGATAACGAGGATACTAATAAGAGTCAATTTCAATTTGAAATGCAGAAATATAATCACTAAACAATGGCACAGAGTGTGTTGCATTATATGCAAACCGCATCATCCGAGAGAAGAAGCTAGGAACAAAGTAAACAAGAGGCCCAGTGGGTCTGTATCGCTCACCTGTTTCTTTTGTTACATGAAACTGACATATAGGTAACTTCAGACCAAATTTGGTAACTAGAACATAAGACATTTTAACACTTTAAGTTGAACCTTGACCTCATTACTGTAATAAAGAAAACATTTCACAGCTGGTCTACATAAGTTTTTAAATATATTTGACCCCTGTGACATTGAAACTAGGTCAAGGTAATTTTAATGAGGAAATTTTATAGCACTCCATCCCAGGTAACTATTGACCAAATATCATGACCCTGGGTATTATGGAACTTAAGAAGATTGTTAAAGCTTTTAACCCATGTTGACATTTGAACCCCGACTAGCACTTTAAGTTGACCTTTGACCTAATTACTGTAATTAAGGAAAATATTTGCACTGCTGCTCTACATAAGAAACCCAAGTGTCATGACTAGTCCAAATGATTCTTAGGATATTTTTGTTTGAAGTTTTTAACATCTTTGACCCCTGTGATCTTGAAACTAGGTCAAGATCATTTTAATGAGGAAACTTAATAGCACTCCATCCAAGGTACCTACTGACAAAATATCATGAGACTAGGTCCTCCAGTTCTTTATAAGTCGTTCAAAAGGAAAAGTTGATAGAAGGACGAACGCCACAGTACGGCATAAGCTCACATGGTGAGCTGGAGATGCTGGATCATGTTGTGCACATTTTATATCTGATCAGAGGGTTCAATGATTGATGGATTGGTTTTACATCCGCTTCACTACCCAGTAGTTGAATGGTTGTGATAAATTACTGGTATTTATAATTGGTATGGACTGATTCAGAGATTCTCCTTCTGCAAGATTTTCATCAAAATTAGTGTGTTTGCTTAGTAAGTAAACACAAATAAATTTGTTGAACTTTCTAGATTTACTGGATAATAAAAGAAATACAAAAATGGAAAATATCCCCAACACATATACATGTACCTATTTTGCCCCGATTGCCGCTTGGGGCAAAGGTGTTTTTATTCAGAAAAAAATCACAATATCTCGGAAACGGAGGCCATAAAGACGATCATATTTATTGCCTCTTGTTGTATAACACAAAGTACAATAATTTTATGACCGTTTCAGTCGAGTCAGCTCCAACCTCACAAGGCCTTCAAAGTCTTGATTCAGTTTCGCCAAATTTTAATTTGTGCACACAGGTGCGCGTGAATGAGTGCGATCATGGACCAGTCCCTCTCCCTAACTTCCCTTTAATTTTATAAACCCACATATTTACAAGTATTTTTACCAATGAATCTATCATTGCCGATTCTACCGTTTGCAATGTATAAATTATTACTTTTACAACAAGAGGCCCATGGGCCTTAATGGTCACCTGATATATTTATACAGAGAGTTGATTTTGTTTTTAACACGAACAGAAATAGTATTCAAAGTGACAAAAAACAAAAAACCACCTTATTCAATATCTAGCATACAGATTTAAGACTAAAAAAAATATTTGAAACTAGCACCTCTGATTCTATACAAGAACAAGAGGCCCAATGGGCCTGCATCGCTCACCTGGTATTAATCTCACACTTGTAATCTTAAAAGTGGACTAAAATACAGCTACAGGCAGAATATCAGTGTGACCTTGAATGACAAACAATGACATTAGGTTGAAAGTGGGTCAAGGTCATTCATTTGAACAAATTTGGTAGCCCTGATTGCTACAGGCCCAATTTCAGTACCCTGGACCTTTTGGTTATTGA